TTTTGTATTGCAGCAATTCTTCACATGGTATCCGACTGGCTCTTTCAAAAGCAATCTGTCTCTCTAGAGGAGTGTCCTTATGGGTGAAAGTCCTTTTGAGATTTGCAAGGTGATGATCACAGGTGTTCTCCTCAGTGCAGATTTGATGGTATCAGAGGGCTTAGCTGTATATTAGAGCTTTCTTGGTGTGTTTAGGGTGATTTCTGGTTCTGTGTACACATATATGTTGGTTCATGGGTTTCTTGTACATGGTGATTTGCATTTTACCATTCTGGATATTGATCATAGTGTCTAAAAAGGAAATGTTGGTGCTGGAGTATTCAAGAGAGTCTGATGGAGGGGCACTTCTCAGATTGCAAGGCGAGAGTTCAGGATTCATGGCAACTGATTCTTGTATCACTGCAGCTGCAGCTACACTCAAAGCATCAGTGAGAATATCAGAATAATGTAGGATCATGGCAGGCACAGTCATGGGTGAATTCAGGATTTTGTAAAGGGAGCCATGGGAGCGGTGATTGGCACTGCAGAGGTGGCTGTTTCCAGCTTCTCTTGCCTGCCTACTGGGATGGGCAGACCATGCCATTTGAGTAGCAGTTAAGGACTTTTTAAAGTCCCCGAATTAGATAAAGAAACCTCCCATTATTCTTGGTACTGCCCCCTCCTCTCCATGCTCAGTGGCATATCCCCTCCTCTCCAACTCCCTCCTTCCTTACCCCCTGCTGCCACTGCCCCCACTGTCTCCAGCAGACCCAACAGCAGGGAGAGCTCCAGAGCCACTCTTGCCCTGCTCCAGCCAGACTGCATGAGAAGCCATGCTCAGATGGGGACAGCAGCAACAGTGGCAGTGGGCAAATTCCTCCTCCCTGGCCAATCCCCCCATCTGTTCCCTGCCAGCCCAGGAGCAGCTAATGGAGGGGGTAGATTATAATGAATCATACATTGACTCTCTCAGGGATGCCTCAATAGAAAGGCCATTGCTTCTCCCAGGCAGTTGGTTTTAAAGTTTGGATAAAGCCAGAATCAAAGGGGGTACAACTGTTGCTGTTATATTAGACACAGAAAAGGTCCAAACTAGAACCACTTATTTAATAACCTTCTTCTTTCATGTGGTGAGACTTAAGCTAAAAATGAGATGGGCAGCCAAAACAAGACTTCAACCCATGCATTTTTCCCAAATCAACATCATCCCTATGTTTCCTTATCTCTAGTTAGAATTTAAACATTCCTTTTTTTTTTTTTTTTTTTT